CCAACTCCTTGTGTCGAAATCCTTTAGTGGGAACCCCAAGTGCTGTGTCAACATTCACTGAAAACACATTAAAATATTAGTCCAAAATTGGTGGAGTGTCTACCAATTATAGTAATATGTGAACATAATTAGGTTCAGTTCTACATGGCCCACATCCCTGCCCCCGTTCTGATTTTCCTCTCTCTGAAAGTCACACTGACATCCCTGGAAGCACCGGAAAATTTTCAAAGCTCCAAGTTTTCCAAAGTGCTGACTTGGGAAGTTGGATTACTAGGTGTGCATTTACAGAACTTTTCCACAGCTTTCCTATTCACATGGTGAAGCAATCAATAGGGATGGAATGATCACACACATTCCTAAGCCTTTCCTCATTAGGGAATCACCACCCCAGCTATACATGGAGTGAGCAGATCTAGGACCACACAGATTTTTTTTTTAAGGTGTGTGGGTGGGTGGGGGTGGGGGCGAGGTGGGATGGGGGAAAAGGGTGGATAGTGGTGTCCTCTTGGAATAAAGAATCATCTTTCAAGGCATCTAACTAACTTCTTTAGAAGCCACTGGGGTTGAAGCAGGCACAGCCATTCTCTCTGAGAGCATGGGAGGTGGGGTGAGGTCTGAGACAAGGAGGAGTTGGCACCAGAGACCCCTCAGTGCACCATGCTCCACTTCAGACTCATTTAGCTGAGCCTCAAAGAGAAGCACCCAGGGACGCACACTGTGCTTAGTGGCCATAACCCTGGAGCTCCTGGTCCCATGGGTGCATCTGAAGCAGCCGGTGGAGTGGACTGTGTGGCACAGTTATATACTTTGGGGTCAGAGTTTTAAACCTTGCCCTTACCATGTGTTAGTTGCTCGGCTTCTCTGCATGTCTTAGTTTCAGAACGGGGAGGAATGCCAGCCTCACAAAGTCATGAGCAGGACTCCAAGGGGGAAGGTCAAGAACTTGTGTCACCACCTGCTTAATACAAACCCAGCCCCGGACCATTTAAGCAGCCGCCTGCTCCCCTCCACCTCCCCGGCTCCAACTCTGACCATAGTTGTAATAATTTCATCCCACAGCTGGGACACTGAGCCACTTGGCTGTGTCCAAGGAGTAGTAGTGGAGATGTGGCACACCCCCAGCCCTGCCCGACTCTGAGTCTCCAGCCGTTTCTGCGGCCCATGGCACTGTGAATGCCACATTCTCTTTGGGAAGGTTCCCTGAAGCGAAGGCAGCGTGGTGTCAGAGCGGGACGCTACCAGTGGAGACAGACTCCGGGACGGCTTGTTGCAGGCACTGGTGTTTTGTGGGAACGTGCTGGCAATGGAAAGAAGTGTTTTCAAACCCCTGTCCTTAATACTAGCCAAGGTCAACCTGAGAACAACCTGCAGTGGAAAATTACACCCCGCCAATCCTGCCCGATCTTAATGAAGAGCTAACCTCTTTTATTAGGTGAACTCTTTATTTTTTCACTGTGGAGAAAGGACTGTAATTTGTTAATGAAATAGTATGCTAATATATGTAGTCTTCTAATTTGTGGATGATCAAGAGAAAATTATCTTTCCTTAGAAAATCGGGCTTTTATTCCCCACGTCTCTCTTTTATTCTTCAAAATCACGAGTTCTTGCAGCATATTCTTTGGTCCTCCTAATAAAGGAGACTACCGACTTCTTCCAGAGCTTTCTTCTTACGTCGACTCGTTTGTTCTGCCTCCGTGGTTTGCAGTTTTAATTCCGTGGTCATTTATTCGGTCCTCAGAGGACACTCTCTGAAGGGGAGCTTCCAGCCCCACCAGAAACTTACCAATGGAACATAATCACAGCAAGTGCCCATGTAGATGAGTGAGAGTCACGGGCGTGACAATACCCCGACAGTACAGGGTAATCCCCCGGGCCCTGAGGCCACTGCTCATCTCCTTTTGCGCTGGGCTCTGCTATCTCACACATCTTCTGAGTTGAGAGGAGCCATGGCTACAGAAGTGCGACCCACAGACCACGTGCCCCGGTTTCTCCGAGTCGTGATACCTCGCTGTCCTATCCCCACTTGATGACTGCCAAGATTCTAGGCCTCTCTTAGGTCACAGGTGGCTGCACATGACGTCTACCTGGGAGATGGTGTTCTCTCCCAAGGACCAAGAGGCCAATTCAGTTCGGCAAACAGTGACTGAGCACTCGTGTGACAGCCACCGTGGTTATGGCAGGTCTTAGAGGTAAAAGATGAAGAGGCCAAGGACAGGAGGGAAACGCCAAGGAAAGAAAAATGTAGAACAAAATTTAAATCCCTAACAGAGCCAGACCTACTGGACCAAAAGAGATTTGGGGGACCCCAAGACAGTTGCTCTAAGAGAATACTTGAACATGGGATGGGACTTATCTCCGTGGGGCATCCTGCAGCCAAAGTTCAGATGGGTTTACACATGGACACTTTTACCCATAGGTGCTGTGCTCCCATAAGCAAGGCACTAGAGGAGACCAGACAGTCACCGTTGCTCCTGAAACAAAGATCGATGGCAAGGAAGGCAAGGGAAGCTAGAACAATGAAGACAACACAAATGGAATGAAGACAACGCCAATGTTGAAGCGTTGTAGAAATTGTAATGGATACAGAATGATTTGAACCAAACATTGTTAACCCCAACAAAGAAGTACTTTCCAAAAAATATGACGATGCTATCTTCTATACTAAACCAGTTGCCACTGCGTCTATCCCAAATCCTGTGAGCCCACATGTCTCAGTAGAACCCTGCTCCAAAATGTTCCCAATGGCTGTCACCTTGCAGAAGCATATTGTCATGTCTTCCCTCTAAGGAGCCTCTAGGTCAGCAGTTCTCCACCTGAGGGTCGTGACCCCTTTGGGGATCGAAGGACCCTTTCACAGGGGTTGCCTGATTCATAACAGTAGCAAAATGACAGCTATGAAGTAACAATGAAATTAATTTATGGCTGGAGGGGTCACCACAACATGAGGAACTGTCTTAAAGGGTTGCTGCATTAGGAAGGTTGAGAACCACTGCTCTAGGTGGATTAGAACAGCCAACTTTATGGATACTAAGAGTTTGCCCCACCCAGGGACCCCTCCTGCCATAGAGAGGATTACTATCAAATGAGTCAGACAATCTCAGGCCAGCTCTTTCAAGGATTAGCCATGGGATTCTGGCCAGGATCAAGGGGAGAGCTGGAAGTGGGCACCTGGCTAGTCCCAAGAGCTCCCCTGAGCTGCGGTTTGAAAGGGAGTAAGAGGTTCATAGCCAGGAAGAGACCGAGGGCTTTGCAAGCAGAGACCTCCTGAGCCAAGGCCCAGGTGTGGGCAGCTCGCAGGAATGGACAGGAGCAAGGCAAAAGGCTGCAACCACGGAGACTCCGCAGGGGTCACAGAAGCAACAGAAGGTTGGAAACCCGTGAGCTTTTTCTCAAGTACAAAAAGCACAAACAGAAACTACCTCCCCAGAAAAAATCGCTGGCCCCTTTCCTTCAGGACGACACCAAACTTGCCCTGGTGTCAATCTCCCTTTTGTGTGGAATCATTCCCAGTGACCATCCACTCCGGTCCTGGGTGTTCTGTGGAAATGTGAGGGCTCTGTGCACGGACGCTGCGATTCCCACACATGCAAACATGCCAGGGAACCTGTGCCTTCTCAGAGGGGGTGCTCTGCCCAGGCAGGAAAGGGAGATGATTCTCATTTCCCCAAAGTTGCCCCGGCAGGAAATGAAAGCTTGCTCTTTAACCCTCTAAGCAGGACGCCTGTCCCTTCAATGCACAACGAGTGAACTTGCTGGCCAGGGCAATGCAAAGGGCCACCGTTTGTTTGGTTTGTTTGCTTAAAGCAAGTTCTGTGTGGAGAGGGCTTGCTGGATCAAACACTTAAACCAACTATTCTCAGTGGAAAAATACTAACTACAAGGTTACAAAAAAAAAAAAAAATCAAATGGTGCAAGCCATTAAACATTAATTCTCTCCCTTTGGGCCCCTCCGCAGAAACCACGGTTCATGTCGTGTAGAACCCTCCAGAGATCCAGAGTTCTTCAGATGAGACAGTCAGTGAGAAACCACTTGTTCAATAAAGGGTGGTCTGTGCCGAAGCTCGTAACCTAGCTTCCCGTGGGGTCTCCCAGGAGTCAGGATCCACCTCACATGTTACCTGAACCCACCTTTGATTACCTGCACCCCGTTAGCTTGCTCTCCTTCCTCTCACCTTCCTCACACAGGAAGGCATTTGTCTGCCTAATGCCCTGCAGCAGGCAGGCTCGTCCGGCCGTCCATCCGTAACGTCACTTTGATCCTGTTGACCTTTACTGGCCATCCCACCACCGAACCTTTTCTGAGAAGTTGGGGCCATGGGCAAGCACCGGAGGGGCGGGGGGGACGACGACTCCAGAAATCCTTATGAAACTCACTTTTCTCTTTGAGCTCCATGATTCCATTTTAATCCTTAGCTCTATTAGTCAATTTAAAAAATATGCTCCGTAGATATTTCCCAAACATCTCTTATGTCTAAGGCTGTGTGCTCTGCTGGTGAGGACAAAGGAGAACTCAGGTCTCATGGGAAGCACTTGTTCAGGGGGTTGGGGAGCGGGGTGCACTCGGGCAAGGGGATAACGTTCAAGTCTGAGGGGATGCGGTGCTGGACCAGAAGGTCGGGCAGATCCTCTGCATTGATTTTTATTGCCTCTTCAGCTTCGCAACATCTGCAGAGGCCAATTTTGGTGGAATGTTGTGGTTAGTGTGCATTGCGTGCCTTGATATACATTTAGGCATCTAATCATGAAATGCAATGCATACAACCTTTGGAATTTTACTTCTGAAAATAATTCAAATAATGGAGGAATCTCAGGATTCTTTTTTTTTTTTTTTTGAACACATCCTAAATTGTGGTGAAATGGTTACTGAGTGCTTTGGAAAGTCTGACAACCTTTAAATCACTCAATCGGCCATTCACAGAAGTTCATCACACAGGGTTAGTATATTTACTTCTCTGGTCAAATAGCTTTTCTTTATTGAGTACTATTCTTTTTCTTTTTTTAAAAATATGGAACGCTTCACGAACTTGCGTGTCATCCTCGCACAGGGCCATGCTGATCTCTGCATCATTCCAGTGTCAGTGTATGTGCTGCCCGAGCGAGCACAGCGCCTTCATTTCTTAATGGGGCTTTGGTTGGCGCTGAGGGTTTGCTCTTGGGGTAGTTAAAACTTGGGAGGAACAGGTCCCTGGATTCTTCTTTCTTGCGATAGGAAATATGTAAGCATAAATAAATGTATGTAACATAAATAACCACACCTGCTCTTTCAAAATGATCCCATTTTACCAAATAACACTGCGTGGGAGGAATAATTTTTAATGTCAGCCTCAAAAGTTTGTAAGTTAAAGATAAAAGAGATCCTTTGTCACACCACAGACATACTTGTCAACTCATGTGAACTCGCGAGGCCTTTTGCCAGGAGAGGTGACGGCTGGGCAGAGTCCCATGTGGCAGGACGGTTGGTTTTCACTTCAGCTCCATGATCCCCGTGGTGAGGAGCGAGCATGAGGCAGCCCAGCGGCCGCCCGGTGCAGCCTCAGCGCAGCTCCTGCTGCCTCCTGGCTCTGCAGATCAGTGAGCCTCTGCTGCTGGCCTTTTTGTCAGAAGGCACCTAGAGAACCGTCCGAAAGCAACCCTTCCACTGAGTCACCAAAGCAGCAGCGATTCTGACATTTCTGTTGCTAAAGCTAAGCTTCAAGGAACAGGCAAAGGAAAGGCACGCCGACTAATTCATTAGGACATCCTGGCCCCCAGTCTGGGTTTGGAACCTGGTTCTCCGGCTGCCTTCCTTCTCCAGTGTCAACACCGCCTCCTAAGACATGTTTCCCTGGAGAAATGTGCAGTTTCACTTTGGTAGACTGAATCTTGCTTTTAAACATAAGCATATTAATACTGGTCTCGGCAAATCATAAATTCCTTCTGCCTAATTTCTATTGATTCCTGAGGTAAAATCTGAGCTTGAACATTATTTAGCTACAGATAGTACTATAAAAAAGTGACTCTTGTGACTGATAGTGACCCTACAGGACAGGGTAGAACCACCTCTGTGGGTGTCCAAGACTATAAATCGTTACACACGAGCAACTGGTGGTTTTGAACTTTCCGATGTTGAGGTTAGCAGCCCAAAGTGTGACCCACTAGGCCACTGGGCTCCTAAGGTCTTTCCAATAGCACCACGTTCGCGGGGAAAGTCGGACATGGAATAAGGAAGACTAAAGAGGAATCGGTGCATTTGAATCCTGGTGCTGGCGGAGAATACTGAAAGGACTATGGACTGCCAGAAGAACAAACGGGCTTTCCTTGGAAGAAGTTCAGCCAGATGCTTCTTTGCAGCAAGTCTAGTGAGACTCCGTCTCATGCACTTCTAACGTGCTGTGTCAGGAGAGACAAGTATCTGGACCAGGACATCATGTTTGGTAAAGTAGAAGGCCTTGGGAAAATAGATGGGTTGACACAGTAGCTGCAACAGGGGGACCCAACATGACAACATTTGTGAGGAAGGCACGAGGCCAGGCAGTGTTTCATTCTTTTGTACGCAGGGTCATTGGGCATCGGTGCCAACTCAACGGCAACGGACAATACTATAACATTAAAAGTAAGTAAGCGAGTGGCGAAGTATTTATTTCAGAAATTATTTGTAATCGTACACATTAGGAACGACCAAATCTAAAAGCTGATAGATTTAAAAATGGATAAACCATTGTCTTCACATTGAGTCATAATCCACACTGAAGGCTGCACTCCTTGAGCGTCATCAGCTAGTGCTGCAAGCCCTCCTCAAAGAAGCTTAACTGTGAAAACGACACCAGCCGGTAATATCAGAATAAGTGACAAAGCCTGAAGTTGACAAGGATTTTGTCATGCTTGGATCCACAGTCATGGAAACAGCGGTCAAGAGCTGAAAAGCCAAGTTGAAGCAGGTAAATCTGCGGCACCAGACCTGCACCTGAATCAGGCCGTGGTCTCTTCAGTCGCTTTGCATGCACGTGGACACTGTATAAGGAGGACCGACGAAGACTTGATGCATCTGAATCGTGGTGCTGGAGAAGAATATGGAAAGTACCACGGACTGCTGAAAGGATGAACCCATCTGCCTTGGAAGAAGTACAGCCAGAGTGCTCCTTAGAGGCAAAGATGACAAGATCTCATCGTCTATAATTTGGTCATATTGTCAGGTGAGACCAGTCCTTGGAGAGAGATATCAAGCTTGGCAAAGTGGAGGGGCAGGAAAAAAAGGAAGGCCCTTAATAGGATGGATTGATACACACAATGGCTGCAACAATGTGGGTTCAGGTGCAGGAACAATCATGCGGATGGGGCAGGGCCTGGCGATGTTTTATTCTGTTGTGCAATGTTGTTCTGTTGTGTTGTCGCTGTGGGTTGGAACTGACTTGATGGCACCTAACAATAGAGGGGCTCTGGTCGTCATCTCGTGGTTATGAGTTGGGCTGTGATCTGCAAAGCCAGCACTTCGAAAGCACTGGTGGTCCCTCAGGAGAAAGACATGGCTCTCTAATCCTGTAAACAGTTACTGAGATAGTTTATTATGCCAGCCTGGACGATAAACACAAGTGGGATTAGCTGAAGGATGAAGAGATAAATGGCTCGGTGAGCCTCGCCTTTCTTGTCTAGACTCAGAAACTCACAGGGGCAGTTCTACCCTGTCCTGTAGGGTCCTTATGAGTCGCCTTAGACCTGATGGCAGTGAGCTTGGTTTTTGATTTTAACAACAATAAATAAGCTGTGGTATATTAATATTGTTGTCTTTAGGGACTATAGAGTTGATTCTGCTTATAGTGATCCTATACACAACAAACAAAACAGTCTGGTCCAGGGCCTTTCTTGCAATTGTTGCTATATTTGATCCTGTTGTTAAAACCCCCAAATCAACCAATCCTGTTCACTGTGTTCTTCTTTTTATTTCTCTATTTTTTTCTGACCCTCCTCTTTACCCAGAATCATGTCTTTCTCCAGGGACTGGTCTCCCTTGAGGACCTGTCCAAAATCTGTGAGATGAAGTCTTCCCACCTTGCTTCCAAGGAGCCCTCTGGCCTTACTTCGAAGGCAGATGTGTTTGTTCTTGTAGAATTCTATGGTAAATTTAATGCTCTTCATCTACACCAAAATGCAAATGTCTTAAATCCACACGTGCTATATCCATACAATTAAACAAACGATAGCTACATCCATAAACAATATCACAAGTTTGAAAGCATATTAGGCCCGTTTTACTAGTAATCTATTGCTGGGGTAACAAGATACTCCAAAACATATCATCTGAGAACAATATAGATTTTGTATTCTCTGTCCATTTTGGTGACTCAAGAATGTGGGAGCAGTTTGGTTGGATTCTTCAGGCTCAGAGTCTCTCAGAAGGCTGCTTCTAAGCTCTTCCCCTGACTGGCATCGGGTTTCAGTAGATCTGCTTCTAAGCATTCTCCTGTGAGTCTCTCCACCAGGCTGCCTCGTGAAATCGCATGTGAGTGGTCCCAGAGTGTCAGAGAGAGTCCATCTGAGCCTTCTTATGACCTAACTCAGAAGTTACAGTTCCATTGCCCCGGCGTAGTTTGTTGACTAGAAGTGAGCCCAGAAGTCTGGGCCATACTTAAGGGGCATTATACAGGGTATTACTAGCCAGGAGGTGGAGATAATAGGGAGCTGAGATGTAAGCAATTAATATTGGCCCTCCTACCCATAATCCCTTATGTGGTATGTTATCAATTCTAGCCTGTAAACATGTGACTATAATCCCAGTTTGGTGGGAGTTCTCTGCTATACTAGTGGACAAGATTAAGGTGAGGTTAAGTCTCTACTTTAGTCGAAGGTGTGGAGCAAGTCACCATCCTTGGTTTTCTTGGGAGTAGAGTACACGCTACTGAAAGACAAAACCCACACTGCCATCAAAGCCATTGCTCTCTGTGTGAGAGCCAGTTCAGAAACAGGGACACAGAGAGCCATCCCGGGCCACTGGAAGGAGCTACCAGTGGCAGATCCTGGAGATGTCTGTCTGAAGAGGCAGAGGCTGAAACCAGAAGCACCGGAGGCTGGAGAAGGGAGACCGTGGGTGGGAACACAGGAGCAGCCCCAGCCAGCAACACCGAGACTCGGGGCTCTGCGGCAGAGCAGAGCCACAGGTGGGCTTTCTGGCCCACAGAGGCAGAGACCAAGGGGCCATGGGGCTGAGCTTGGAGAGACTTGACCACTGTCTGAGGAGAGGTGTAGCTGTGAGCCTGTGCCTGTATCCCTACTCTCACTGATCCTGACTTGTGTGACTGAATGAACTCCCATAATTTTGGGTTTTGTCTGTGAGATCTGTGTAGCCACGGCAACAAATTATGAGACCCGGTATAGAAGTGGAATGTGGTGGGAGGAACGGTTGGTGTCAAAATAGTGTTGTTTTTTAAAACAAAGATGGAGGGTGGAGGCACATTTGACCTTTGCCTCCTGGTTTTACCCTAGAAGCTGTCTTGACAACTACTCCCTGGTCCTCTCAGCCAGAGAAGACCTGACTCTGGGCTTCATTCTGTGGTACAGATTTTGGATGAAAAAGGATTAGGGAAGGATCCATTGATAGAAACTTGTCACTCTTTTCCATTTTAATTTCTTAACCAATGATTTATAAGTTTAGGATTTAATATAATAGTGGCACCTATTTTCTAGAGTGAACTGGTGAAATAGTCTGATAAAATGTTCTATGTAGATGGCTTCTTTTTGCCTATACCGTATTCTGACTGCTTTATGTATTTTCCTTTAAGTAAACGTGTTAGGAATCATTTGGTTTCCTTATAACTCTGCATGGTTGAGCAGAGTTATCTGAGTCCTGATGACAGTAGCCACTTCCTTCTCTTTCCTTCACTGTCACCCGGGTGGCACTGATCTCACGTGTCTGTAGACTGAGCCCACAAACGTACCTAATTACAGCTCGGTGTACTTTACCTTGCCCTTCACATTGCAGCACCTCATCATTGTGACATGATTGTCATCTGATTTTATTTAAATGCTGCTGTTCGGGAGAATATTTCCCAGCTAGATTACTGTAATTGCTAACTGCTTTGTGGTTCCCTGTGAGCTCTTTTCTGCATCTTAATTTAAGACATGTATTTCTG